TTCCGGTCAAGGTCATGTGCGTTGGTTGTGGGATATTTCTCTCTCATCAATGTTTCTGGCTCTCTATCTCTCTCCCTTCCTCTCTGTAAAAAAATCAATAAAATATATTAAAAAAAAAAAGAAAAAAAAAAAAGAATCTTAGTGAGAATGCCAAAGACATGAAAAAAAACCAGTCAGAAATTAAGCACACACTAACTGAAATAAAGAACAATTTACAGGGATTCAACAATAAAGTAGAGGATTCCATTAATCAAATCAATGACTTGGAATATGAGGAAGCAAAAAATACCCAATCAGAAGAGCAAAAAGAAAAAAATAATTTAAAAATATGAAGAAAGTATAACAAGCCTCTGGGAAAACTTCAAGCATACCAACATTTGCATTATGGTGCCAGAAGAAGAAGAAAGAGAGCAAGATACTGAAACCTATTTGAAGAAATAATGACTTCCTCTATTTGGTGAAAGAAATAGATCTACAAGATGAAGAAGCACAGAGTCCCAAACAAGAGGAACCCAAAGAGGTCCAAACCAAGACACATCATAATTTAAATGCCAAGAGTTAAAGACAGAGAGAATATTAAAAGCAGCAAGAGAAAAGTAGTTAGTTACCAACAAGCGAGCACCCATATGACTGTCAGATCATTCTCAACAGAAACTTTGCAGGCCAGAAGGCAGTGGCAAGAAGTATTCAAAGTGATGAATAGAAAGGACCTACAACAAGATTATTCTACCCAGCAAAGTTCTCATTTAGAATTGAGGGTCAGATAAAGAGCTTCACAAACAAGAAAAAGCTAAAGGAGTTCACCACCACCAAACCAATATTAAATGAAATGTTGGAGTGTATTATTTAAGAAGAGGAAGAAGCCAAAACTGGTTTGGCTCAATGGATAGAGCATCGGTCTGAGGACTGAAAGATCCCGGGTTCGATTCTGGTCAAGGGCATGTGCATTGGTTGCGGGCACATCCCTGGTAGGGTGTGTGCAGGAGGCAGCTGGTCAATGTTTCTCTCTCATCGACGTCTCTAGCTCTCTATCTCTTTCCCTTCCTCTCTGTGGAAAATCATTAAAATATATTTAAAAAAAAAAAAAAAGAGGAAGAATAAGAAGGATAAAATCTACACTAATAAAAGAGTAGCATGCTAATTGGCCATACCTTCACAACACCCACCAGCCAATCAGGAGTATGCAAATTAACCCAACAAAAATGGTGGGTTAATTTGCATATGCAGGCACCAAGTGGCCAGGGTGCTTACATGTCACCATGGCGACAATGCAGGTGTTCCACACCACCCCAGCCACTCTGGGCTTCTGGGCAGCGTGGGGAGGCAGAAGGCAGCTACAGCCAGAGTGAAGGCATTGCCAGCAGCCAGAGGAAAGAAGGCCCATTCTTGCATGCATCTTTGTGTATCGGGCCTCTAATATAAACAATAAAATGGCAACAAATACATATCTACCAACAATCAAATCTAAAAATAAAAAACAAACAAGAAATCTAATGAACAAATAAACAGGTGAATAAAACGGAATCAGAGGCATGGAAGCATGGAACAGACTGAGGAATCTCAGAGGGAAGGGGGGAAAGAAAGGCAGGAAGAGATTAACCAAAGATCTTACCTATGGACACATAGGTAAGGTAGTGAAGGCTTGGGGTGGGGTGGGGTGGGAACAGGGTGGAGATGGACATTGGAGGGAAAATAAGGGGGACATCTGTAATATTCTCAACAATAAATTTTTAAAATAATACTCTGTATCATCTCCCTGGTTGCTTTGAACACTGTTCTTTGACTCCGTCTTTCTGCAATTATGCTATGATGTGCCTTGCATATTTTCTGTATATTTATTCTTACTGAAATTCATAGAGCTTTTTCTATCTATGACTTAATTACATCCATTTTGAAAAATTTCCAGCCTGAATTTCGAATATTATTTCTTCCCAATTCCTCTTCTCTTTTCCTGGGTCCCCAATCACAACATAAATGCAATCATGGATCCGAGTCTTATGTGTATTTTGTGATATCTTCCATATTATTCACACTTTTGTCTTCCCATGCTTTAGTTGGAGTATTTTCTTCAGACTTATCAGCTCACTTATTCTTTCTTTAGCTCTGTCTTATCTACTAAATCTATTAATATCTTAATTTCACATATTGTATTTTTCAGTTCTAGAATTTTCTTTTGACTTAATTTTTTAAAATATGTTTTTTATTGATTTTAGAGAGAGAAGGAGAGAGAAAAACACTGATGAAAGAGAAACATCAACATTGATGTGCTGGCTCCTATACACCCCTACTGGGGATCAAGCCTGCAAGCCATACATATGCCATGACAGGGAATCAAACCTGTGGCCTCTTGGTGCATAGGTCAATGCGCTCAACCATTGAACCACACCAGTTGGGCTTCTTTTCACTTTTTAAAAAATATATATATTTTATTAATTTTTTACAGAGAGGAAGGGAGAGGGATAGAGAGTTAGAAACATCGATGAGAAACATCTATCAGCTGCCTCCTGCACACCCCCTACTGGGGATCCATCCAGCAACCAAGATACATGCCCTTGACCGGAATAAAACCTGGGACTTCAGGCCACAGGCCGAGGCTCTCTATCCACTGAGCAAAACCAGTTAGGGCTGTGGTGGGCAAACTGTGGCTCACGAGCCACATGCGGCTCTGTGGCCCCTTGAGTGTGGCTCTTCCACAAAATACCACGGCCTGGGCAAGACTATTTTGAAAAAGTGGCATTAGAAGAAGTTTAAGTTTAAAAAATCTGGCTCTCGCTGGGACCGGTTTGGCTCAGAGGATAGAGCGTCGGCTTGCAGACTGAAAGGTCCCAGGTTCGATTCCGGTCAAGGGCATGTACCTTGGTTGCGGGCACATCCCCAGTGGGGGGTGTGCAGGAGGCAGCTGGTTGATGTTTCTCTCTCATGGATGTTTCTAACTCTCTGTCCCTCTCAATTCCTCTCTGTGTAAAATCAATAAAATATATATTTTAAAAATCTGGCTCTCAAAATAAATGTCAATCGTTGTACTGTTGATATTTGATTCTGTTGACTAATGGGTTTGCGGACCACTGGATTAGGGCTTCTTTTCACTTTTTAAAATTTTTGTTTTCAGTTCTCTGCTAAAATTCTACAATTTGGCATTTAGTCTCATCAGAATATTAATCATAGTTATTATGAAGTCCACATCTGGTATCTCTAGTATTGGACCCTCTGTGGGATTGCTTCTATTAGTTTTTTTCTTTTTATTACAGCTACTAGGGACCTGTTGCAGGAATATTCCTGCAAGACTTTCAGCAGGCTTCCTTCCCACCACGGCCACTTCTCTCTTTCCCCCCCAATCCCCGTTGCGATGGGCAGCCCCGCCTATTCCACCTGCCCCACCACGCCCGCAGCCACCACCGGCACCATCTCCGCAGCCACGCACACTGCCACCACTGCTGTGGCCTCCCCCTCCCCCCCTCACACACATACACAACCTGCCGCCGCCACCACTGTTGCCCCAACCTGCCACGCCTGCTGCCACCGTCTCTGGCGCCTCACCCTGCCCCACCAGCCCTGCCCCACCATCGCTGCCAGTGCTTTCCCTCCAGCAGCCGCAGCCACCTTGCTTTCCACTTTCCCTCCCTCTTCCTTCTATGCAGTCTTCAGTCTTTACTTCTCCCTCCCTATGCAAATGAACCATCTTTGTTGGGTTAATTTGCATACTCAGTCTGATTGGCTGGTGGGCGTGGCTTGTGGGTATAGTGAAGTGATTGTTAATTTGCATATTATTATTAGGTAGGATAGCTTTTCTTTTTGTTTGTCTAGTGTTTTATAATTTAGTGTCAGACATTGCATTTGAAAAATTTTAAGAGATAATATGAAACCTAGGATTATGTTATTTTCTTCCAGGGAGAATTTACTTTCACTTCTGGTAGACACCTGAGCACCAGCAATCCCACATCACCTTAATCCAACTGCTAATTGAGATGATTGATATTTGGGCTTCAATTCATGGGAGAACTAATTACTATCGAGGATATACTTATTTTGTGCTCCAAATGAAATGCTGGTTATTTACCAGTCTATCTTTTTTAGGTCAAGCCCTGAATTGTACTTTTTCTCTCCCTTACCCTGTGAATCTGTCAAAAGATTTCAGCCTCACTGGGCCTATAATAGATGTTATTTTTAGTCCTAGCATGATCCAATGAAAACCTTTTTAAAAATAAAAAGCCTAAGGGACTTATCTTCTAGATAATATTTTTGTCCCTTAAGCACTCCTATGACTGTGTTCTTATTTATTAAAGGATCATCAATCATTTCTACCACTCTCTTTGACTACTTATTGTTTGAACCTAAAATTAAATAGTGGCTAAATGTCAAGCAATATACCAAAGTACCAATATACCCATTAATTTAAACTGTAGTTATTTAGTCGTGGCTGGTGTAGTTATTTTGGTTGGGCCTTGTTCCATGCACCGAACGGTTGCTGGTTCAATCCCAATCAGGACACATGCCTGGGCGGCAGGCTCAATCTCTGGGCAGAAGGTAGCCAACGGATATGTCACTCTAACATAGATGTTTCTTTCTCTCCCTTTTCTCTTTTTCTAAAAATCAATAAAAATGCTTTTTCAAAAACTATAGTTGTTTAACCAATATTAAGCAATAAAAACAGACTGATATAGCATGACTTAGTGAGGATTTTAAGAGTATAGTTCACATGAAGTTTTTTACATTAAAAATAACAAATTCAAACATTTTTAATATTTCTAAACCTTTTTATAATTTTTTATTGAGAGAGAGAGAGGGAGGAAAAGAGAGAAAGAGAGAGAGAAGGGGGAGAGAGAAAGATCAAAATTGTTGTTCTACATATCTGTGCATTCATTGGTTCCTCTTGTATATGGCCTGACCTGGGACCAACCTGCAACATTAGTATTTCAGGACAATGCTCCAACCAACTGAGCCACCGGCCAGGGCTCTAAATCTTGTAGAATATTATCAAACAAATGAATATTGGTACTTACTTTTACATCCCATTTTTGTGAAAAGTTTCTTCAGGTCAGGATGCTTAGCTTGTGCTTGTACTCCACACACAAATATTTTTGAGTTTTTACTTATTAAGTTTGACATATGGGCAACTGTGTACCATGAACCTGTATTGACCATTAAGATATCATCATCCACATTTAATAAAGCCTTTACAGAATGGACAGCAAGACTTCGAGATTTGTCCTGCAAGATATGGTATGATTAGAATTTCAAAGAATTTAACTAGAAACATGAACTGACTTCTTTTTGGTAAAAGAAAGTAGTTGGTAGGAATCTTGAAGAGACACCTAACCCATTTTATCTTAAAATATCTTATACATTAAAATATAAAGTTAAGCCAAAGCCGGTTTGGCTCAGTGGTAGAGCGTCGGTCTGCAGACTGAAGGGTCCCAGGTTCGATTCCAGTCAGGGGCATGTATTATACATTGATTGCGGGCACATCCCCGGTAGGGGGTGTACAAGAGGCAGCTGGTCAATGTTTCTCTCTCATCGACGTTTCTGGCTCTCTATCTCTCTCCCTTCCTCTCTGTAAAATATCAATAAAATATATTTTAAAAATATATATATAAAGTTAACAAAAATAACTGATATAATCTGATTTAAAACAAAGACCTTTGTTTAGTTTAAATTATGACTGTTATCATTTAACTTGATTTGTAAGAGGTATATAATGCAATGCCAAAGTCCCCAAAATGTGGTTAATAGATTAGTGATGTCCTGCCCATTCCTATTCATTTAAGAAAACCCAATCATCTACTACTGCCATTCTCCCTTTAAAATAAAATAAAAATAATAATAAAAAAAAATAGAGAGAGAAAGAGAGAAAGAGGAGCCGGGACCGGTTTGGCTCAATGGATAGAGCGTCGGCTTGGGGACTGAAGGGACCCGGGTTCGATTCCAGTCAAGGGCATGTACCTTGGTTGCGGGCATATCCCCAGTAGGGGGTGTGCAAGAGGCAACTGATGGATGACTCTCTCTCATCGATGTTTCTAACTCTCTATCTCTCTCCCTTCCTCTCTGTACAAAATCAATAAAATATATTTTTTTTAAAAAAGAGAGAGAAAGAGGAAAGAAGAACTAGAGAGAAACATTAATTTGCTGTTCCACTTATTTATGCATTGATTGGTTGATTCTTGTATGCTCTCTGAGAAGGGATCAAACCAGCAACCTTGGAGAATCAAGACAATGCTAAACCAACTGAGTTTTCTGGCCAGGGATATTGCCATTCTTTCTTCCTATTACAATGTAATTTAAATTGCTGCTGGTTCATAGAGCTTAAAAAATGGCTGAGCTGAAACCGGTTTGGCTCAATGGATAGAGCGTCGGCTTGGGGACTGAAGGGTCCCGGGTTCAATTCCGGTCAAGGGCATGTACCTTGGTTGCAGGCATATCCCCAGTAGGGGGTGTGCAGGAGGCAGCTGATCGATGACTCTCATCGATGTTTCTAACTCTCTATCTCTCTCCCTTCCTCTCTGTACAAAATCAATAAAATATATATTTTTTAAAAATGGCTGATAAGCATATAAAAGGGAGCTATACATACTGGGATCCTGCAGTTGATCTCAATGCTCAGTAGGGTGTCACTCTAATATAAGGCCAAAAGATTCTGCCCAAGAATATGGGTCCAGTAAAGAAATAAACCTTAGAAGGCTAGGTGAATCTGAGCTAAGAATTGGAATCTAAGGACATAAAAATTAATTTAACTTATATTTTAGATATTCTACTTTTTATTTTATGTGGAAACCTCATTATATCTCATTTTCTTCCTACATTGATAGACATTACACACCTCTTACAAATCAAAGCTATAAGACTATATTAAACAGATAATGGGAAAGTATCACACATTGCATTTTCAAATGCAGGATGGCTCTAGCATCTTCCACAGAAATGTAAGGAAAAAAAGGAATCATTGTACCTTCCCTTGAATCTTCCCTTGGGAGAGAAAAATATAGTTGCCAGCAATACAAGTCTACCTACCTATGGAGTCTAGGAATATGTTCTTTACAACTTCACATAGGACAAAGATGCCAAAGTATAATAGGAACACTGATTATAGAGGTATTGATTTTATTCAAGGTGAAAATCAGAAACCTCCCTGATAATCTAGAAAAATATGTTTTTAGATTTTATTTATTTTTTGTTGTTGATAATCCTCATCTGAAGATATTTTTCTATTGATTCTTAGAGAGAGTGGAAGGAAGGGAGCGGGAGAGACAGAGAGAGAGAAAAACAATGATGTGAGGGAGATTGCTTGAATCCCAAATGTGCCCCACCTGGGCCTAGGGATTGGGCCTGCAACCAAGGTACATGCCCTTGACCAGGATTGAACCCAGGACCCTTCAGTCCCTGAGGCTGATGCTCTTATTCACTGAGCCAAATGGGCTAGAGCAGGTTTTATTTTTAAGTGGAGATATTCTTTGGATAAGTAGGATTATTGAGTGTCACAATGAATATAAGTGTTAATTTACCTGAAATATGAGTTTATGATCTTTGAAGAGATCTATATTTAGAAGATCACTTTTAAGATAAGATGGAAAAATTAAGACATCATAGCAATGCTGGTCCACAGCAAAGACTTTTCCACCAATATTCAATATAGTATTGACTTTAGTGTAGCCTCTTTTCTTCAAACTATGATAAACTTCTTCAGGTCTGTAAATATACAACATTAGGTTGTAACTACAAATATATTACATTAAAAATGTGTTTAACACTAGCATCTTTTCCTACAAAAAAAAAAAAAATACCACTCCATTTATTACACTTAATAGAACTTACAATTTTAGGCAACAATAAGTTAAAAGATACAGACAGAAAAGTTAACCTATTTACATTTTTATCTTTGGTAGTTTGGTGATAAGATTCTGAACTAAACTATGATTCTCCAATTACTCCCCCGGATGTGACCCCACCCATTTAAAAGGTAATATTTCTTATCACATTATTTTGAAATATGAATAAAGAATCTGATTAAAACTCTTACCTAATTTTTAAAGCATTTATCCAAGCATAAAGTGGCAAAGTGGAGGCCCTTCGCTCCTGGTTCCTAACAGTTTCTGGAAGAATGTGGTAAATGGAAAGGGCATCATGTTTGATTCGATATCTTGCCAATGCCGCAGCCAATTTTGTCTTAAAACTAGAGATAGAAAATCCATTCTTGGTGATTACTGCATTGAAGACAAGTCTATCAATTTTCCACTGGAAACATTAACAAATTTCAAATTTTAACAAATCCTTCAGTAATTCTATTTCAAATTTTTGTAGTCTAATGTAAAAAATGGCCATATTTGAAAATAGAAACCCACTAATCCTGCTTCCTCTTTTCAGTTTTTGCTGTCCCTGTTTAGTTAACTAACTGTACATCTGCTCAGATTCTTATATCAAGTGCTACTTTCAAGACAAGTTCAATATAGTGAGAGAGGTGTAGGATTTAGTGTCAGACAAACCTGAAGTTAAAGTCAGATTCTGTCACTTAATGACTGTGTGACCTTAAGACAGCAACAGTGTAGTCATTCTTTCTTTCTTTCTTTTTTCGAGAGAGATAGAGGGAGGAAAGGGGATGAAAGAGACAATGATTTTGTTGTTCCCCTTATTTATGCATTGATTGGTTGGTTCTTGTATGTACCTTGACCTGGAAGCAAATTCACAATATGGTATATGAGGATGACGCTCTAACCAACTGAGCTACCAGGCCAAGGTAGTCTTGGTAAGATTAAGGAACTTGCATGAATCTGTATCAAGCCCTTCCTAGTTCTGATTATCCCATGCCTAAGAAGTTCCAAACAACAAAAGAAAAAGAATTGGTTAGCATGACCATGAAGACCCAATCATTTTTCTTGATGTCATAGCTCTAATTTTTAATAAATGAGAATACAGAACTTTCTTTTGACCCATATTCATATCATTTTCACAGTAGGAATCTAATTGAATAATAATCCTTAAGGATAACCTAGCTGGTTTGGTTCAGTGGATAGAGTGTTAGCCTGCAGACTGAAGTGTCCCGGGTTCGATTCCAGTCAAGGGCACATGCCCGGGTTACAGGCTCAGTCGCCAATGGGGACTGTGCAGGAGGTCACCAATCAATGATTCTCTCTCAACATTGATGTTTCTATCTCTCTTTCTCTTTCCCTTCCTCTCTGAAATTAAAAGAAAAGAAAAAAACCCACATTTTTTAAAAAAGAAATGTAAGAAATTTGTGAACTGTTATATTTTTTCTCTATAAAATTTAACGTCTTATACATTATACTGTATAGAATTTTGCCAATGAAAATACTGAGTCCAAATAAAACACTAGTAGCCCTGCACACAAATTCGTGTGCCAGTAATGCGCCAGTAGCTCACTGCCTGTTGCCCCACGTCTCCCCTTAAGCCCTCTCAATAGCTTGCTGCCCTGCCCCCTCCTGTAGCTCTCCACCACCCGCTTGTAGCTCTCTGCGCCCCCTCCTGGTGATCCAGTGGTTACACAGTCAGTCATTAAACTTCACAGCGTAATAACCATTTGCATATTGTAGCATATTTTATCTTTATTATATAGGATCCTTTTTACTTTTACAGTTACCTGTTAAGAAGGTTCTCTACTTCTTGAACTTCCACTATGCACTGTTGGTTATCAGTAAAGAGACGAGCTTGAAATTTTCTATCTTGGAAATCATACAGCATCACAATAATTAAACTGCTCAAATGATCTGGCTACCAAGGGGAAATACACACAAAGAAAAGAATATAAACAATATCTAATAGATATTTATTTTTCGTTCCATTATTTTTCATAACAGTGCAGGAATATGACTATATTTACAGAGTCTGGCTGGATTAAGAAAAAAAGACCTCAAAATAGGGGAAAAAAGAGCCCAGTATAAAATAGATCTTTAAAAGAAGACAATTTTTGACATGTTCATCAAAATGATTAGGGTGAGTATTAGAAGCATTAGAAGTAAAAAGCATTAAGAATATACTTTAAAGAGGTGTCAGCATTTAGAAAACTAGTTATGACTTAAACCTGAAGGCTTTTTAGTACTTTTGAAATAACAATCGGGAGATAGCTAACTATATAAAAGGCATCTACTTACTATTGTAGTACTTGGGAAGATGCTGCTATCTATTAATATAGTTTCCAAAATACCTTGATCTGCAAGACAAGGTAAATGTCTGTTACTGAATATACCAAAGTTGAAAACAAAAACTGGAATCAAAATACACTTTAGACAATGTCATAAAATACATTTACTTTCATATCTAAAATATTCCTCAATTCTTGATAAAGACTTAAATTACAATGACATGATGAAATAGTTGCAATTGTTACGAATTTGAACCCTAATGACCCAGGCACCACATGAAATCACAGTCAAAGGTGCATTATCTGAATAGTCAAAGTAGTAATGAAGAAATACCAACCTTTAATTTATGTCCTTTGAAAAACATTAAAGATCTCATTCATAATGTCCTATCTTGCTATGTGTTGCTGGATTCAATTTGCTAATACTCCATTTAAGATTTTTGTTATATGTTTATATTCATGAGGGGTGGTCTATAACTTCTAATATCCTTGTCACTGTTAGTGCACATCTTGGTCCTTTCCAAAGGCACCCAGGCACAACAGAGAGAGCCACAAGCTGTGGATTGCGGCGAGCTTCACACAGGGTATACAGAGTCAGTCAGAAACAGCATCTGACACTGTCCTGCACTAGAGATTAAGAGGCAAACTCAAATAGGCAGCCAAAACGGGAGACAAAACAAACAAACAAGCTCCAAATGAAAGAACAAGAGAATTCTCCAGAAGAGCTAAATAAAATGGAGATAAGAAATTTATCAGACATAAGAGTTCAAAATAATGATGGCAAAGATGACATGAGAACAGATATAGTAACTATGAAGAATGACATAGCACTAATGGAAGGAATACACAGCAGATTAGGGGAAGCCAAGGATCTGATCAGTGAATTAGAAGACAGGGTAGGAAAAAAAAAAATCACTCAATCAGAGAACCAGAAAGAAAGAAATAATTAAAAAACAGGAGGTGAGCTTAAAGGAGCTGTGGGACACCATGAAATGTAACAATATTAAGGTGCCAGAAAGGGAAGAAAGTGAGCAAGGGATTCAGAAGGTGTTCTCAAAGCATACATTAAGCAATTATAAGGGTTTTTTTCATTTTTTTAAATATATATTTTATTGATTTTTTTTTTTTTTTTTACAGAGAGGAAGAGAGAGGGACAGAGAGTTAGAAACATTGATGAGAGAGAATCATCGATCAGCTGCCTCTTGCACACCCTCTACTGGTGTGCCCACAACCAAGGTGCATGCCCCTGACCGGAATTGAACCCGGGACCTTTCAGTCCGCAGGCCAATGCTCTATCCACTGAGCCAAACCCGTTTCGGCTAATTATAAGGTTTTTCACTGACAGGTTAGAAGATGCTAAAATGGCCAGGTTAAGGCCACACCAGTACATGGTATTTATAATTCACTAACTACTGTATACACCTAGAGAAGTTGGAGAAAGAATTAATTAGCCATCAATAACATCAGCAATTTCAGGGACATATCTTTCCTCAAAGTTTTTTCTTTCTTTTTTTTTAAGAAATTTATTTTTTAAGAAATCATTTTGCCAGTTTTTCTTTGTTTTAAATATTTAGTATTCCTTGAAAGATCCAGAGATTCTTTGGGGGAAAAACACACAAAACAAAAACAGATTAGCTTCTAGTACTTAATAGGAATAAGTAGGTTATTCTTCATTACCTCCTTTAGCAAAAAGGTGACCTTCAGGCTAGTTAGTAAAGCAGGAGTAGTGGTTGTCTTCATTTCAAAAAACATTATACTGAGCCCTATAAACCTTTGGTTAATCAGATATACACACTCTGCTTTGATAGAGCTTATGCACAAAGAAGGACATCATCAAAGGAGCAAACAATATACTGGAAAACATAAAACCCAACCAAAGGAATACACTTAACATTTATATAATTAAGGGATTTTCTCTGACATTATTTTTCTTCTCCTGTACTTCCTAAAAGGAAGTAATATGGCCGAAACCGGTTTGGCTCAGTGGATAGAGCCTCGGCCTGCGGAAAGTTCCGCGGTTCAATTCCGGTCAAGGGCATGTACCTTGATTGCGGGCACATCCCCAGTAGGGGGTGTGCAAGAGGCAGCTGATTGATGATTCTCTCTCATCAATGTTTCTAACTCTCTATCCCTCTCTCTTCCTCTCTGTAAAAAATCAATAAAATATATTAAAAAGAAAAAAAAAGTAATATGACCTAATTACTTGTTTACAAATTCACCAAAAAACAGACCATTACCCAAGGTCTCTTGAGCTTCTACATTAATCTTTTCAGCTTTACTGCTCCTATAAAACTGTATGAAAGAAACCCTAGTTTTCTTTTCTGAACTGTGCTTCCATGAACCTGTATTATATACACCAAATATGAGCTTACAAAGTATCACGTGAAAGTACTAATAAAATACTGATAATGCAGAAGATAAATGTGAAATGACAAGAGCCTCCAATATTTTAAAGCAAAATATCAGGTCTTTAATTATCTTGAAAAGTCACTGCACTTAGGAATTCAGAGTTTTACTCTACTTGTTCATTCAGAAATTATTCAGATGCTAACTTAAGCAATATATTATTATTCTAAGAAAATATTTTTACCAACAGCCAAAGTAATCTTACTTTAGAATTTGAATATTTGTAGCAAAAGCAGATTTGTAAAAGCCTATGATAACAATTAATCTGAATGGGATTTTGTGGGTCATTAAAAAATATCAAATAGGGCCCAGCTCCTGTGGCCCAGTGGTTGAGGGTGGATTCATTAACCAGAAGGTTACAGTTCAATTCCTGGTCAGGGCACATGACTGGGTTTTAACCTTAATCCCTAGTGCAGCGTTTTTCAACCGCTGTTCCGCGGCACACTATGTTGCTTGGTGTGCCGTAGGTGCAGACAAGACAAGAATTTTATAATTTTTCACTATTTTGTTTACTTAATATTGCATAATAAAGTAATTATAAAATACTTTCTTTGTGTTTATTTGATTCCTATTCAAGAGAATTACTTTATATATAGTCAATATAGGCACAGAGTTAAATTTTTTAACATTTTCTAATGGTGGTGTGCCTCGTGATTTTTTTCATGAAACAAGTGTGCCTTTGCCCAAAAAAGGTTGAAAAACACTGCCCTAGTGGGTGTACAGGAGGCAGCTGATCCATGATTCTCTTTCATAATTTATGTTTCTATCTCTCCCTCTCCCTTCCTCTCTCTGAAATCAATAAAAACATGTGTTTGTTTGTTTTTTAAGTCAATAGTAACAGGATCCTTTCATAAAACAAAAATAAAGATTGAGAGAAAAAAGGTAAATCTACTACACACACGAGCATCTAATTAGTGCATAATTTTACATAAAATAATTTCAGACTTTTAGTATTGATTACTAAAGGTAAGAGTCAATAGTCCATTAGGAAAACAAAATATCTATAATAGAGTCTTGGCATTAAAATTAAATACCATCTAATCAACACAGATGCCCAGTTTGCATTTCAATCTTGAGAGGAAAAATGTAAAAATGTTCATTTGACTCATTGGTTGGTCTTTAAGATTAAACTAGAGGAGGAAAAATGATTAAGACAGATTTTAAAAGAAAAAAAATCACAAGAGAAAAGAAATGAAAACTAAAGGGAAGATACCTCTTAACATCAAATTTTTCTCTATATTGACAAATTCCTGGCCTTAAAGTTTACATCATCTCAGCAGACAACCAAGAATATATAATCATATCTAAGAAATTAATGGAACTTTATTCTAGTAGGGGGTGTGTGGGAGGCAGCCAAATGGTGTTTCTCTCCCTTCCTCTCTCTCTCTAAAATCAACAAAAACATTTTCTTAAAATATATTTTTATTGACTTTGGAGAGGCAGAGGGAGAGAAAGAATCCTGATCAGCTGCTCCTTACTGGAGATCCAGCCTCCAGCCCAGATGGAAATCAAGCCAGCAATGAGGAATGAACCAGCAATCTCTAGGTGCATAGGACAATGCCCAAGTAACTGAGCCACACTGGCTAGGGCTCCAGTAACATCTTTTTTTTCTTCCAAATATATTTCTTTATTGATTTCAGAGAGAAAGGGAGAAGGAGAGATAGAAACATCAATGATGAGAGAGAATCATTGACCAGCTGCCTCCTGCACATCCCCTACTGGGGATTGAGCCTGCAACCCAGAAATGTGTTCTTGGCTGGAATCGAACCCGGGACCCTTCAGTCCACAGTCTGATGCTCTATCCACTGAGCCAGCTAAGGCAACCAAAATATATTTTAAAAAAAGAAATTAATAGCAGTTAAAATGTTAACTGCCTATGCACAAGGAGGCCCAGTTAAGTATTAATACTAAAAATAGATAGGCGAATGAGTAGTTGCTCTTTCAAGATCTCTTTAGGAAGCTATATGCTTATCACTCCAATCATGCTAATACTCCACATATTTCCAGAACTTCTTTTTGTAACTACATTCAGTCAGTTTACAAGCCAACATAAACTTTGCAGTTTATATTACATTATAAATCACTGTAGTATTTAAATTAAAGTTTATGGGCTAGTACAAAAACAAATGTCTCCAAGCCCTCTGACTTCTTGCTCTCCTAGTAACAATATTTGGTTCTGTTCTGGGATCTGCTCCCCACACTCAGAAGTTAATCATTAACCACCACAGAGGAAATGTGAAACATTGGCATCTCATGCCCTACAAGGAGATTAGCAAGCAGAATTCTGCACAAGTTTGGAGGAATGAATGTATAACCTCCCCAAATCAAAGCTATTGATGATACATGGGGTCCTCTTAATTGGAGTTGATTTAGTTTTTACATTCATTTTTAATAGATTGCACTTCTTCTTCTTCCATCCCTGTTCCTCTCCCAGACCCTTTTACTGGGTTTTTATTTATATTCTTGAGAGTTTTATTTATATTTTTGAGATGTAAACACAGAGAGTGGAAATACCCAAGGAGAGGGAAACTATAAATGCGTGCTTCCATGGATCCTGTTCTTCCTGCTAAGGGGAGGGTTTCCTTGTTCAACTTATTTTTTTAAATATATTTTATTGATTTTTTACAGAGAGGGAGAGGGATAGGGAGCTAGAAACATCGATGAGAGAGTCATCGATCAGCTGCCTCCTGCACATCCCCCACTGGGGATCTGCCTGCAACCAAGGTACATGCCCTTGACCCGAATCGAACCCGGGACCTTTCAGTCCAGAGGCCGAGGCTCTATCCACTGAGTCAAACCGGTTTTGGCTCCTTGTTCAATTTAATGACTGCCTTACATCTAAGGTACCACGCTAGACAAAATCTACACTGAAGAAAAAAAACCAGTTCTGGTCTGAAAAGAGCGCGTTTTACTGGAACTCTCCTCATTCCTTGACATTTGCCACCACCGGCTGAAGACATCCACATGCACAGAAACAGCATGTGGTATGAGTTCTCCTCGCTTTCTCGCGCTGACTGGTCCTCGGGGCTGGGCGCTACTCACACTTGAGGGTGCTGAAGGCCAGCTCGTAGGCCAGATGCTGGAGGGACTCATCCTCGGACTCGCCGGCCGCGGGCCGCAGGGGCTCGCTCCCGTACTTTATCAGGAGCTTCTCGGGCGACGTTTCGATCCGGATGCCCTGGAAGATGTTCGCCGCCATCACGTACACGGGGTCCGGGAAGCCAGTCTTGTCGGGAGCCCCGCTCGCGTCCTGCTCGCCGGAGGCTTCGTCGCCGGACAGGGCCAGGCGGGCGAGCTGCGAGAGCTCCTCGGGGATGCCGCCGCCGGGGACCTGCAGCTCGCCGGGCTCCAGCATGCCTGCCCCCGGGCTGCCGCCGTCGATTACCACTCAGGTGTCCCGGGAAATGTGTTTTCCCCCTGCACCTTCAGCATCGTCTGTGGGAACAGAAAGGGGATCTCAGCCCGTCCCTCTCTCCGCGGGGCCACGCCGGGTGCCGCCCACTCGGCTGTGGCCTCGGAGACCGAGGGGGACGTTTACCGGCCGATCGGAGCATCCTGTGCCCGAAGAAATCACACGCCCAAAGGGGGAGAGGAATGGAGGAGGCAGCTGGGGAGTCGCTTCCCAAGCCACAGGCGGTTTGGAGGGACACAGGCCGGCTTGGAGGGACACAGCCCCCAGAGGAGCCGTCTCTACCGCCCGGCCCCTTCCTTTGCCCCCCAGGGCGGGCGTTTCCCGGGCCCGGGGACGCGGAGGCGGCGCGGCGAGCACGGGGGGACGGGGGGTGACGGAGGCCAGCGAGGGCCGCCTGGCTCCAAAGCAGCCTCTCCCGCCGGCGGGGTAGGGGCAGGGGCAGGGGCCTCCGGCGCTCGCCTCGCTGGGCCTTCGGGGAGGAGGACGCGCCGCAGCGCCTCGCCGGCCACGCGCGGTCTCTCGTCGCGGGGGCGTGGCGGCTGAGCCGGTGGAACGCGAGCCGATGGACCTCGCGGGCTCAGGCACGCGCCGCCGGTGCGCATCCTCCGCCTCCGGGAGCTCTTCCGCTTAGGAACCTGGTCTCCATGGCAACCGAGAAGGGGGGGGGGGGAGGCCGTGGGGGTTTGGGGGCGGGGCGCCGGGCAGCGCCCGAGGGCAGTTCCCGCGGGATTTGGCCCCGGCAGCCTCTCGGGACACCTGTGCCAGCCCCGCCCACCCGGAAGTGGACCGACCCCCTAGCGCGGACCTGGGGGTCCCTGGTTTCCCCGGGATTGCAGGTGGCGCCTCTTTCCCGGCACGTCCCCCGGGGTCTCCTGGAAAGCCAGAGTTTTGGGTCGCTGACAACACCCGGTTTATGAGCGGAGTTCCCAGGGAATGCAAACAGGTGGGTGTAGAACTACTGATGAAAGGGGGCGGGGGGGAGGGGAGGGGAGAGGGGATTGGTAAGGTATGTACACATATAATACCTTAATAAAAAAATGAGGGAAAAAATTTCAAAGTTTAAAATAAATCAACTAAGCCGAGACCGGTTTGGCGCAATGGATAGAGCGTCGACTTGGGGACTGAAGGGTCCCTGGTTCGATTCAGGTCAAGGGCATGTACCTTGGTTGCGGGCATATCCCCAATAGGGGGTGTGCAAGAGGCAGCTGGTCGATGACTCTCTCTCATCGATGTTTCTAACTCTCTATCTCTCTCCCTTCCTCTCTGTACAAAATCAATAAAATATACTTAAAAAAATAAAATAAATCAACTAACCCCCCCAAAAAAATAAATAAAAATATTTTTTTTAAAAAAAGAAAGAAAAGGGGGCGGGGGGAAGAGAAGAGACTTAATGTACTGTCCCGTGGTGGTTGTTTTTGTTTGTTTGTTTTTTTGTTTTTTATAACTGTAGCTCACACGTTAGACGGACTCTCCCGGGGTAAGTTATTGGAAAGATCTCTGCCAACTTAAGACCACATCCCTCCTTTACAGACGTTGCCTGCAAAGAAAGGCCTTGCTGAAATGGACCTGCGAAAGATCAAATTCGCCCCACCTTGCAAATTATAGAAGGCAACTGGGAACATATATAAACCTCCCCCCCCCCAGAGGGTTTTAATAAGACTTTTTAATTTTTGAGAGCCCTAGAGCGAAGTCTGCATCAAAGAAAAATCTTTAAACGTGGAAAAATACTCATTGATTTCTAGAATAAAACCAAATGACTGAGATTTGGGTTTATTGTTGAGTTTCGGTGCGTTTTAAACACTTCACTGATGGCCTTTTAACCTATTTTGTTATCTTCAAGTTCTGAAGCCAAAAAGGAAAGGAAAAGATTGCTTTGTTTTTCTATTGCTACTTTGTATCTTCTCCAGCAAATTTCAGGTCTGGTAGTCTAATAATTTTAATGCCAGTCGAAATATCTAGAGCCTTTATACATGCACCCTAATTTCTCTTGAAGTAAAATTCAGTAAACTAATACAAACGTGCATACATAAAGGTCATGCAATGAAATGCCACATGTATGTACTTTACATTTCCTGGTTTAGAAAACCCTTTTTAAAAAAAATGTTTTTGAAAGACCTTTTTTTAAAAATATATTGATTGTTTTACAGAGAGGAAGGGAGAGGGATAGAAAGTTGAGTTAGAAACATCGATGAGAGAGAAACATCGATCAGCTGCCTCCTGGATACCCCCTACTGGGAATGTGCCCACAACCAAGGTACCGTCCATGCCTTGACCGGAATCGAACCTGGTACCCTTCAGTCTGCAGGCCGACCCTCTATCCACTGACCCAAACCGGTTAGGGCTAGAAAAACCTTTTGTAAAGTAGAATTAGGCATTGAATTATGGAAGAAACTTGATAAGTTATGTTTCAAGTTTAAAGTTAAATCTTTTAAAGAAATTAATAAAATACATGCTAATATCTATTTAAAAGAGAAAAAAAATCTGTTAGGCACTTGGTCCCTATTTTCTCCATAAGGCAAAAACAAAACAAAAAAAGTCTACAAGATGAATGAAGCTCTTAATTCTGGACTGAGATGAAACAAAGTCATATGAAAAAGCTTGCAAGTGCAAGCATGCTAAATATACTTAAGGTAAGTAACTCCAGAGATCCTACTGACTCCTGTTTAGGAATCTTAGAAATCTCCCCAACTACTTTGTAGAAGTGGTCCAATCTGGAAAATAAACACAGAAAATAAACACAATTTACTCTAACATTAATATGGATACTCAGGGATTCTAAATCGTGGTTCCTAGTCCTTCTCTTGGTGTGTGAAATAAGAAGGGATAGACTTTTAAATTTGATTAACTTATATCTGTGAAATCTTAGGCAAGTTTTTAACATCCCTTAGCCTCAGTTTGGCACCTCTAAATTTTTATTATAAATATTTGCACCCAGCTGGCGTGGCTCAGTGGTTGAGCATCGACCTATGAACCAGGAGGTCACGGTTTGATTCCCAGTCAGGGAACATGCCTGGGTTGTGGGCTGGATCCCCAGTGTGGAGTGTGCAGGAGGCAGCCAGTCAATGATTCTCTCTCATCTCTCTCATCATTGATGTTTCTATCTCTCCCTCCTTCTACCTTCCTCTCTGAAATCAATAATATATATAAATTATTTGCACCTATCTGTATTCCCCATTCATCTACCTTCTTTCTACCCACACAACCTGAACAACACATGCTCTAAAATTGTTTTATTTTTATTACATATTATATCTTTTTATTCCCAGAAGTTAGCAAAATATTGTTCTCTTTAACACACACACATGCACAGAAGATTGTAAATATAAGATGTCTTAGGAATTATGGTACATTTTATTATTCAACACACAGTACAATCTGCTGAAAATATGAGCTAAAAGCCAACTATAAACAAGATAATATTGTCTTTCAAAATATTATTTGAGAAGCTCTTGTCTTTTATGATAGATCAATATGAGTGACAATCCATTGTATTGAAAAATAGATTTAATTTGAGTCTTTACCACCAAAATAAAGCGTAGGCAAACAGTTGTGGGTTAGTGAAGTCACCGTTGCTATTTACTCTAATCGTGTGTATAACCCTCCCTCCTTATTGTGGAGGGGAGGGCACGTTCAATCTCAGTGAGCAGTGTACAAAGGTAACCATAGAGATAGGTGTGTGGAGTCCATGGTTGTGAAAGCAGAGTAGTAATAAATGTCGTCTTTAAGTCACACTCTGTAATATAATCAGAACATTAAATTAGAGATGGTGTCAAAACTTAAAAAGTTAGTTACCGGGAGCTTTCTGCCAAAGGAACTTAATGGAGTGCTTTTCTTTCCCCAGGGGGTGAGTACTGGAAATATTTGTAAATTAACATTTCTTCGATTTGACTCAGAGTAGCTCCGAATGTTCGCCAAGTAGGTGCTCAAAATGCATTTGCTCACTTGCTTCCATTTGATCTGGGTGTATAACACTGCTCAGTTCCTCTAAAACCTGTTATAGAAATGTAAAAAGCATATGAAAAACAAAGATTTATGACTTGTGTTCTTAAACACCAGGATGCAATTTATAATTATTGCTATTTAGAAATGGGAATTCATGGTCAGATCTGAAATATCCCATCCCCAAAGGAGGGGATAAGGGCTAGGTGCCCAAGAAGACAGGAGACTCACCCAGTGAGGTGAATATCATCCTCGGATGCTGGGTGAGGAGTAGTGTGAAGGAATGTTTTACATATTGCCAAAGGTAGCGTTACTCAAGCGTCCTCTTGCTAGTAATCCTTATGGAAACTTGTCTCAACTTGAAAAGGATATAGAAAGGTGATAATGCAAACATCCCTCTGCAAAAAACAACAGATGGTTGTGGGTGGGTTATTTAACACAATATCACTAATAATGAGTGATTAGTTAAAAGAGCCTTATTCACTTGCAGAGGGGAAGCAGCCGAAGACTGGGTGGAACAAAGTGTCCTAAAGGGTAAGGCATGTGGAGAGGAACAACAGTCTACCATAGTCATTCAGAGATGGTGCCCTTAGAAATAATACTCTGAAATTTAGAACCCAAAAATGACAACAGCCGAAACCAGTTTGGCTCAGTGGATAGAGCATCAGCCTGCGGACTCAAGGGTCCCAAATTCGATTCCGGTCAAGGTCATATACCTTAGTTGCCGGCACATCCCCAGTGGGGAGTGTGTAGGAGGCAGCCGATCAATGTTTCTCTCTCATCGACGTTTCTAACTCTCTATCCCTCTCCCTTCCTCTGTAAAAAATCAAAAATGACCACAGCAACTAAGGAAGACTTTGAGTTACCTAGGACGCAAGGGGAAAAGAGGATTTAAAAGACTTATCATTCCAGCCCTTGATTATCCTTGTGGCCCAGGATTACAACAGACAATCACTGTTACAGAGTAAACCAACACAGTCATTTCCTAGGGTTGGTTGTTTAAG